CCCCAAAACCCCAAAACCCCAAAACCCCAAAACCCCAGGAAGGTTATTTATTATACAATATAAATATGAAGAATATTAAAAGAAGAGGCAGGAACTGAGTACGTCCAAGTTTTATCACTAAACATGCTTGTTATAACAGAATTTCTTACCAAACTGCTGATATAGAATAACTTTAGAAGAAAAATCATGTCCTCCACACTTTCATTCATAACTACAGGAGCTTCCACAAGGGGAATCACTTCAGCAGGGTTCTTTAGTCCACCTCTTCAAAGCAGGAATCAAGATAAATTTGTAAGCACTGGAATTTAAAATGTAGGTTTCGCCTAGCTTAAGGCGAGATTTTGGTATCAGGTCTCCGATTAGGTCAATGCAAAAGAACACTGTAAGGAGAATAACCATTCTTAGGACTATTAGTTAATATGTTGATAGATTTTCATATAAATTCTCCCCTATTAAATCATAAAATTCTATCATGCTATCCTTAAGCTTGAAATATTTGAGGTCTAGTTGACTTAAAACTTGACCATGTTCAAACTCAAGCAACTTCTGCTGAAAGTCCAATTCTAGCTGAAAAAACTTTATGAAATTTGATATACCTGTGTTTTAATAACCTAAGAAATATCGACAGAGTATTTATTCCGGTATCAAATATACGTGTTTTATTAAACTAAGGCTATAGTTCAGTGAGAGTAGAGAAGGCACACCTAGCATGCATCCAAAATAAGTAATTTGTTTATTAATCCTACAGGGTTTACTTTATGAAAAGAGTGCTTCAGTAAGGGGATAACTTCCTATCACTATACTTTAAGGCGATTTTTTTGGCTTATGCAACAAATTTTAGCATGAACTTTTACTAACAAACTCTATACTAGGAAGAGACGGAATGAAATTGAGCAAATTCGGAAAGCTATCACCTCAAATGTAAGTTTCACCTGTTATCAATTCAAATAATTAATTCCTAAATATAGATATAAAGTCCCTCGATGCTGGCCTAATTGAGAAATTTTACAAATAAGGCAAGGGTAAGACTCACAAAATTCCTTATAAAATACGTTAATAGATAGGAAACATACGAAGGAGGATCCTGGTTGATAAAAATAACAACGCTGCCTCAAAAATCCAGAAGTTTTATAAAAGAAGATTCTTCCTCAGTAAGAACTTATGGGCTACTTATAGATAAACTCACAATAAAAGCTAAGAAATCAGTAGCTAGCAAACGCATAAAGGAAGGAAGAGCATCAAATGCTGTTGCTGCTTTAACTAACCTTCACTCAAAGTTCTTTCTAGACAAGGAAAAATAAGGTTGCCTTGATTCAGAGGTATATGCGAGGATACCTAGATTACACAAGGTACTCTTCTCCATTACATTATAGATATGGGCGGATAGCCAAACTTAGAGCTACAGAGAAGTTCTTTGACAAGCTTAAGATCAAAGTTGAAGTAAATCTCCTCCTAATTCTACTAGGAGATGAAAAAAGAGGAAACACGCATCCAGAAGGAAAAAGAAGAGGAAGAAAACAGAAGGAAAGAAGAGCTAGAAAGGTTACTCAGGCAAGAGACCATTGAAAGCAACGTTCAAAAGTAAACTCTTTGGTTCATTTTAGGATGAAAGATTCGAGGAAATTTGGTGAAAGAAGGCAAGGAGCTGAGGAATGAACCCTCATTGCGGCCTTTAAGAAGGGAAAAGGTACTGCTTTTGACTGAGTGCTATAGGAAGGGACCGCAATGATATCATTAATATTACCACAAACTCGAGAAGTATCAATTATTTGTACTATTTTACATAGGGAAAAGCCATGCTAAGGAATGGAATGACTCTACTTCAGGGATCTCAGCTGCAAAAATGATGAGAAACAGTCGTCACAAAAGGTAATCTTTTGAATATATCTATAGGCAATCTTTCCTAGTTGGCTCAATTGGAGTTGTAAGTCCATTTCTCTCTCATTCATGACCAAAATAGGAGAGACAATCTTTGATTCAAAAGCAAGCAACTGAGTTTATGAGGAGAAGTGGGCATTTGCTTCATAACTGTAGATGGCGATAAAACCTCTCCTAATTATAATAGTACTAGTAAGAGAGGAGCTCGCAAATCTGGATGCAAACAAACTCCTCGGAAAGTCATGGGGTCCAGGTCAAGGAGGACGAGCAAATAATACTTCAAAGTACAAGAGAGCACCAAGTGATGAGACTAACTCTTTGATCCATCACCATAGTAGCAGTAAGCAAGGATATAATTTTTAGGCCTAGTGCAACAAGAAATCAAAGATGGTACAGACTCAGATCAAACTTTAGCATTTTCTTGACTCTTAGCAATCAGAATTTCATAATTTTGAAGATAACATGTTTTACATTTTTAGTATTCAATTAAAAATCTTAAAAAGCTTGTATAGCATCAATATGAGATTGTACTGAAAGTCCTAAAGGATCTATATACGAAGGTATTTCTCTTATCCTAATTCTTTAGACAAAGATTTTATTGGAGAGACCGATAATGATGTTGACAACTCATTCGATATTAACAAAAGCTTAGTAATTAAAGAAGCAGATGAAGAAGATGATCCTATTGTGCTAATAGAGCAAGATTAATATATTTCAATTATCAAATTACTCTCTGGGGTTTTGGGGTTTTGGGGTTTTGGGGTTTTGGGG